TTCAACTGTTCTTTTCATTCCAATGCATTTCTCACAGTTTAACCTACTACATTATTCATTTGCTAATTTGCATACGCTTATCACTGGCTTCCCTCTGCTATAATGCCAGCCCCACAAAAATAGGGGACTTAGTACTGTTCCCTAATGGATCCACAAAAATGCTTTCTTTCCCAGAGCACTTACCACATTCTAACATGTCACATTATTCAGTTATTAAATGGCATATTATTCACGATCTGTCTCTCCCTGCTACAATGTAAGCTCAGGATGTGAGTTGCTAGGGATCTCGTTTTGTTCACTGACAGACACCAAGACCTGAAACCTGCGCACACAGTAGGTACTCAATACACACGTGTTCAATAAAGGACTCTAGAAGGTCCTGAGACTTCTAGGATGCTCTTAAGGACCCATGCTGTTCTTGATGATTCCAGAACAAAGTTTAAGCCCATCCAGGGGGTTGCCCGGACTCCTCCCTGCATCAGCAGAGACAGACATCCCACTGAAGATGCCAGAGCCCACCCCGCTGGCTTACATGGGGGGGTAGGAGGTGGTGTTCTTCACAAAGCTCCAGGGCTCTGCAGGCTGTGGCGGGGCAAACCTCAGGTCTCCGAGAGGAGGCTTGGCGAAAGGGACGCCCAGGAACACGGCCACAGGCTGTGCGAATCCTTCCAGGCTGATGTATTTCCCCAGCACTGGGCCATGCCCAGTGTCCACCACAGGTGCCGAGGACGGGTGCCCTGCTGGATGTTGAGAGGAAAAGAGGACATATCAGAGGTGAAAGGCTTGACCTGGATGGTAGATGGGTTTTACCACTTTCTTAAACATGTCACCTAAGTCCACTAGGCCTCAGTTTCTCCTGATGGGAAAAAGGGGGGAGGGTCACTGTCCGTCCTAATGCATAGAGCAGCTTCATGGAGCAAATCAGAACAGGGGGTGGGAAAGCACCCAGTGAAAAATGCACACAGGAAGGAGAGGTGCTGGGAGGTCGGGACACTTAGTCTCCCTCTGAGAAGCCTCTGGAACATCCCGTGTGCTAGGATCCTGGCATGAGCCCCATGCAGGGCAGGAGGGTGAATAAGAGGCGGCCCCATCTCCAGGAACATGGAAACTTACAGGGGTAATGAGCCACATAGACCCTTGACCCTCCAGCCTGGAAGTAAGTCGTGTGTCCTGGGGGAGGGAGTGAGTAGGGCCTTTGGGAGGTGGAAGGGGGAGTGAGTCCTCCAGATGGGGGGCACAGGAAGGGGCTAGGGCTTGCAGCAGCAGGAGGACTGAACAGGGGTGAAAGTAGGGGGTGGTGTGAAGCTGAGAGGACAAACTGAGGCTCAGACAGCAAAGGCAGGGGCTGCCTGGGTGGGACAGGGGGCCCGTGTGCACAGACGGCGGCTGTGGGGAGTGGGAAACAGTCCTGCAAGGAGAGAGCAGGTCAGGGAGGGGCTACAATGCCAGGATAAGGGCTGGGGTTATTTCACAGCAAATAAGCAGCAGAAGCTGCTCTGAGGGAAGGGACATGACCTTGAGGTTGCTCTGAAAGGGTCAAGGAGAGGAGAGAGACCCAGTGACAGAGCAGACAACTGTTCCTCCCTGGGCTGAATTTCACATCCCTGCAGCTTCCACAGCAGCCCTCTTCCACTTGCTAAGGGACAGCTGACCTGATCTGATTTGTATGGCACGTGGCCTTTCATACACCACCATCTCTAGGGCTGTCGGGGTACTGATTTGGAGTCCACAGGCTCTGGATCCAGGAGCCAGAGATAGACCAGGCCATGATTTCCAGGTGACCTTGGGTGTGTACATTTTACTCCTAGAGTCTCAGCTTCTTCATCTACAAAATGCCACAGCCATAAGTCCAGGTCCCTCACTGCTCCTCTGTCATCACATGTGCTTTATCATCTATGTTCTCACGCTTTGTCTCCTGAGACCCTGCAGATTCTGGAGGAACTGTCCCTTCCAGGCTCCAGCCATCCCAGAACCCACACAGCAACCAGCTCCTTACCAAGTTCCCACACCCTGGGCCACCATCCACCCACCCTAAACATGCCAAAGCCAGGGGCCAGACAACTAGGAGAAGCCCTTGTGCTAAATCTCCCTGAAATTACTCACAAGAGTCTATCCTAAGACTCCTCTCATTGCCTTGCCCCTTCCAGTGGAAACCAATAAAGCAGTAAAGCCCTTGCCCCCTCCGCTGCTCTCACCTGCCTCGTGTGTGCCCCTCCTCTGAGGACTGTAAGTAACAAACTGTCTGTTCAATGGCAATTGGCCCTGAGACATTTCCACCAACATTCCTCAAGTTTTCTATTAACTCAGCACGTTTAGAAACGATCCCTTTTCCAAACTTCTTTAGCAGGCACTACCTAAGATCTTTAGAAACAACCCATGTCATCCTCACATTTTGAGCCAGTGATGTGGGCATTGCTGGCTTCCCTCCAGGAGAGACAGGGTAGCTGAAGCATAGAAGACTTAAGTTCCTTGCCTAGAGATGCACAGCTGGGAATATTGCTAGAGACCTTGCTCTTAATATTCTGCTATGTTACTAGTCAGATCTGGCCATATCTGGACTAATAATCAAGGGGAAATTACGCTGAGTTCTCCAAATTCTTCATGTGTGAGGCATTGGTCTATCCTCTCACCCTCCTGCCTGGGGTGCACGCAGTGCAGCTGGGGACTTGGGGTGATTCTTCCCCCCTGTGTCTCATCACTGGCTAGGGCTGACTGGGCTCTGCTGCCCCAAGTCCAAGTCTGGAAGCGCACACCTCTGCTGGACCAGACCCGTGGTGCCTTTTCCTTATATGCACACCCATCCAAGTAAGCTCAGAACCAGGATTTTTGTATTTCAGGAAGACTCACCCGAAGCTGTGGAAGTCAAGAGAGTGGCCAGGAACAGAGCACAGAGCCACATCCTGGAACGGCAGGGGCTCCCAGGGCCTGGGAGGTCTTGGTGCTGCTCAGAGAGGCTGCGCCTTCCAGCTCAGAGCCTGAGTGTTCACAGCCCAGTGATCTAGTCAAGGATAAGAGAAAAGCTCTCTGCACTTCCAAAGATCTTCAAGGGCTTGTATGGGAACCTCTAAGCCACGCCTACGCAGAGTTCAGCCTTTTTTATGTAAACAAACTCTCAGATTACATGGAGTCACCAATTTGCCAAGCAACCTGTTGCTTAAGGGTTTCCCCTTTGTGAGACCTTAGTGGCCTGTGAACTTCCCAAAGGGGCCCTTAGGCAAGGGGGAAGATTTTGTCTGGGGTCCTCAGAACAAGCTTGGAAATAATCACAGCTCAGCTGTGGGTAAGTTAGAACCCTGCTCTCTCATTGCACACAGTTCTAGGCTCTCAAGTGTGGAAGCATCTTAAATGCCATCCAGTCCCTTTCTGATGCCTACAGTACCTTTACAATGCTCCTGCCAGCCTCCTGCCACTCACCTCCAGGATCAGGGAACTCACTGCCCCTCAAAGCAGAGATTTTTGGACAGAACTTAAAAATGAACTCCCTCTCCTCACAGTCTCTGGCTACAAACATCCACCCGTCCTTGTGTCCATCCAGTCTCAGTACATTTGCTAAGTGCCTGACACTTGGCTGGGTGTCATGGATATAAAGGTAAGTTCACGACATGCTTCAACTTTTTAAGCAAACATTAGTAGACAAGTCCGGTGTTTGGAGGCGGGAGGGTGAGGGAGTTGCAATGCTTGTGAAAGCACCAAATTAGGGGCACACACAGAGTTTGGGATACACCGGGGAAAGTGCCGTTTATAAGCTACTGGAACACAGGAACATGCTCAAAGTGTCTTTAACCAGATGACTAAATGTCCACCAACAGGGAGTTTGTTAAACACACCCTGGCACAGCTGGTTAAGGAAGTGTTAGGAACTCACTGGGATTACTGACGCACATGTCTGTTTAATGACAAGGAAATGCAGTCACGATCTGGTGTGAAGAGGCCAAACATAGGTTATAAAACTCCCGTGGCTGTTTAGGAACCATCTTGGCAGTTCCTGGAATAGTGAAGCATAGCGTTACCACATGACCCAGCCATTCCACTCCTCGCACATTTTCTTTTTTTTTTTTGAGACAGAGCCTCAAGCTGTCCCCCTGAGTAGAGTGCCATGGCATCACGCTCACAGCAACCTCCAACTCCTGGGCTCAAGCGAGTCTCCTGCCTCCGCCTCCCAAGTAGCTGGGACCACAGGCGCCCGCCACAACGCCCGGCTATTTTTTGGTTGCAGCTGTCATTGTTGCTTGGCGGGTCCGGGCTGGGGATTCGAACCCGCCACCTTAGGTGTACGTGGCTGGCGCCTTAGCCGGTTGAGCTATAGGCGCCGAGCCTCCTCGCACATTTTCAAGAAAATTGAACACATCTTTATACAGAATCTTGGGGTCGCAAGTGTTATTCATGTTAGCCAAAAAGTGGAAACAATCCAAGTGTGGTGATGAATGGACAAAGAAAATGAGGTCTCTCCACAGAGTGAAATATTATCTGGCCATAAGTATAACACGTACGGTGTTGTGAAAGGTGAAACATTATGCTAAGTGAAATATGCCAGGCACAGAATAATGCAATCCACGTATTGAATTATTTTATACATGAATTTCCAGAACAGGAAAACCTAGATGGAGAGTAGATGAGTGGTTGCCAGGGGCTGGGGAAGAGGGAATGAGGGGAACGCAGAGTGACTGCTATTGGGCATGAAGTCCATTTGAGGGTGGTGCCCCTAGTGGTGGGGAGGACTGCGTGACTTCCAGGATATACTAAAAGCCACTGAATCCTGCACTTTCAAAAAGTGAATTTTGTGGCATGTAAATCATAGTTTGCTAAAATAAAGGAATGTTTCTTTAAACATTCAGTTATGTATAATATGAGCCCATTTTCATAGTGATGCATAGCTTCAGTTGGGTAGGAAACATTCTTTAAGGTTATATAATAAGTGTTCTAGCAACCACATTCCTCGCTATCACACTGCAAGGGTGTTTTTCTCTTCTTTGTACTTTCCACTTTTATTCACTCGTATGTCCCCTTGAAGAGTATTTGCTCACTGTTCTAAGAGTTTGGTATGAGGAACAGCTGTTCTCAAAACACCCCTGAGAAACTAACACCAGGACTTCCTGAGGCTCATGTGGGTAAGCACCTGGTCTGAGGGTGCAGGTCCAGGAAAGGGAAGAGCTGAGCCCTGCTCACCACCTGCATGCTGTGCCGCACAGCCCACCCTCTTAAGCACTCAGCTTTGGTGTCTCTTTGTGACAAACTCCCTTTTTTGCTGCCCTAGGTACAGGCTTGATGGCCTGGGGGGACCTCCTGCAGCCTGTCTCTTCTGCCATCCCCTCCCCCTCCACAGCTTCCCAGCACCCCTGCTTCTTACTGCTCCCTCCTGAGCCCCCCAGGAAGGATGGGGGAGCTGCCTGCTTCAAGGACCTATTCAGAGGAGACAGACAGTTGGAAACAGGAGCCCTAAGGAGCTTGGGGATAAATCCCTCAGGTCCCTCACCCTTCTCATAGCATGACTTGAAATATGTATTCTGTTTCCACAATTTCCTCCTGGGACTAAATCCAGGTACACACAGTGAGAACCGGCTTCATAAAGGACCCTTGACTGGCTGGTTCCCTTGCCCACTTCACCTCCCCACTCCAGTACTGTCTCCTGCACTTGTGCCTATATCCCTATGTCAGCTGTGCTTCTGGGTAAAGTCCCTTTAGTCCTCAGCCCCTTAGGCAAATGTCCCACATGATCTGTCAGCAGTTAAATGGGGGCCCCCTAAAATTCATGTATGGGAGGCCTAACTCTGTGTCTCAAAGTGTGACTACCTCCAGGTAAGGCCTCTAAACAGATGATTCCATTAAATTAAGATGGGTCCTAGTGCAATCCTACTGTCTGGTGTCCTCACAAGTAGAGGAAATTTGTACACAGACACCAGAGACACCTGCACACAGAGGGGTGACCATGTGACCAGGCAGCATGAGGGGGGCCTCCCATGTGCCAGGGAGAGACTTCAGAGGACACCAACCCTGCCAGCACCTTGAACTTGGACTTTCAGCCTCCAGAACTGTGAGAAAACAGGTTTCTGTTGTTTAAGTCCCCAGTTTGTGGTATTTCTCTCTGGCAGCCAGAGACGACTAGGATGTGCACATAGTCCCACTCCAATCTTTCTTCCAACCCTGATCTGGGGAGAGGTAGCCTCAGGTCTCACAGCAGCTCAATGGCAAAGTCAGGACCAGAGATGGAGCTCTTGGACTCCAGCCACAGAGTGGGAGACATGGACAGCAACCCTTCCTCATGCTTCAACTCCTCAGGACAGTGCTCTGCTCTTCTAATAGGGCAGAACACCTTGACCTTGTACAGAGGTGCACTATCAGTTTACTGGTGCAGGATGAGGGCAGGAGGGAGGAGGGGTTAGGAGAGGCCAGAGGAGGAGGCAGGTACTGGAGAGATACATTCTCTTTCCTCATGTCATTTGGCGAGCCTGGCTGGGCCAACACTGACATCAGGAACGACTGGGCAACCAGCCGCCATAATGCACTTGGCAACCCCAGAGACGTTTGCAGCTTCTTGCCCAAGGCTGTAGCTTGTAGATGAAAGGAGGCTTCTGAAGACCCAAATGCACAAAGGGGCACTCACAAACAATCAAGCCAGGGGCTCTGCCGGTCAGGGGGGCTTTGTGGTAGGGGTAAGGATTCTGTGACAGCATTATAATCTGCACCGGAGGTGATTCAGTCTGCAAAGTTTGGGCTAGGGGTCCTTCCTTCCATCACTACATCCAGGAGAAAACACTGTTAATAAAGAGGACTATGATAAGAAGCACCCATTATCTCTATCCACATGGGTCAGTCTAGGGGGTCCTCCTCCTTGGATATCAATCCCTTATCACAAGGCACACACACACACACACACACACCTGTTAACCAACCTGACTTTGCCCCTGTCACGTGGCCTTTCTAACCCAGGAAACAGTCCTGGCTTTTGGCCAGGAAGATTACATAATGCAGTGTTAGCAAAATATAAAAGGTAAAAATAAATTATCCTCCAACCCACTGTTTAATCCCAAGCCCTCTTGCAACACCACCCAAGTCTTCAAACAGAAGCAGTGACCCCTAGAGCTTGCCTGCTCCTGGACACACCTTCTGAAGCCCATTCCTGGCTTACTCTGCAGAATCAAGGAGTGAAACTGAAGCCTACCATGTCTGTGCAGACCTCAAGCCAAAAAACTGTATGATTTCTCCATGGCACTACCCCATCAGCATTGCACCTCTCACTTAAATGGTGGTTGATTGAGGCTATTGTCTTTCTCTTGGGAATCTTCAAGGTCTCCTGCGTGGAAGTAAATGATCTGGAGAGAAAAATCCTGGAACTGGCCCTACTCCCAAAGCAGTTGTGTAGGACTTGGGAGAGAAAATACATCTGTGGCTTTAAATCATCACGCCGAAACATCTCCACCTCTATCAATTTACTAAACAAATATGCGGAGAGCACATATTACATCAGACATTCGGCACAGCAAACCCATGTCCTACTGGGCCCGTCACTCAGCCGTGCCTGTTCATCACGCCATTGATCAGGTGTAGACTTTGTGGGTAATTATGTTGCACCAGCAGACTGGGATCCAGTGGGTGAGGTGCTCCCTCACCCAGAATTCACCATGTCTCCACACTCTTATGAATCTAGAATTCTATGACATTTTCCAATGCAGCCTACACATAAGCAGTGTTTTTGAAACCTCAGTTATTCTCTTACTGATATCACATTTTTTTCCATATCAGCATGCCTACTCTACCATTATTAGTACTTTTCTTTAAATGGATTAAGACTTTTTAATTTAACACATTCATTCAAAAAGGAGATTTTATACCATTTCCATGAGTAGAAGGCCTGTAAAACTTGCCACAAAATAAAGATAAGCCCCCAAAATGTTATCAGTGTGTTTTTTAAAATTAACATGATGTTTTAAAAAGTATAAATAAGGAAAGGTAAATAATAACATACCTGGTTTACAAAAATGATATCTGAGGAGTAGTCGCTTAACTAGAAATGGGAACTGTCAATGGCCAGCAGGTTGG